GGATGGTACATGGTAGACATGATATCAGCAATACTTCCAGTCAGTACTCCGGCAGCAGCATTTGTACCCCTTGGAAAGTCTTTAGAGTCTGGCCTGGATAGCTGGTCTATCCTTCAGCACACTGACAAACCCTTGTGACTCTTGTTGGCCTCTTATGGGGCTGCTGTCTTTTAAATAGGATTATGTTTCTGCTCCAAGTTCATTCCTCTCAGATTCTTCCATCAGTCCCAGTCATCGCATGTCAGTCAATAGAGCTTCGAAAAATGTGTCCAATTCAACTAAATGTTTTTGTGAAGGTCAGAGCTAAATGATGGATTGTTTGATTGTGTAATTACAAGGTGAGAGAAAATAAATCCACATCCTATTAAAGTTATTTGATTTACTTTTCCATGTTGTACATATACTTACTTGTATTACATGTTGAACCACATGCTGGATATCTTCCCCAGCCTCAAGGAAATACAATAAATGGATTCATAATTAAAATGTTTTATAAAAATGTATAAATTAATAATGTTGTGTGCAAACATTTAAAATTGAAATATAAAAGGAAAAATAAGTTTACTTTTGAAATGATTTCTCACAAAAACCTTTCTAAATTATAGTAAATTATTAAAAAAGGTTTCGTCAATATACGTTTTTCTGCCTAAAATAGTTGAAATTGAACGTAAACTATATCAAACACCACATCCATGGCAATTAACCCACTTTTGCCCGCTATTTAAATTGACTTTGGTTGAAGTTAATAACAATATTGATATTATATATATAGCATATAATTGACTGCAGTCTTTCTGAACACTTTTAAAATACTGCAAATGAAGAATATTTGTAATGTTCTGCACAGATAGTGGCTTAACTTGAATTTGAAAACATGTGGCAACTTTATTAATACAGCAGTTGAAAAGATTTGTGGAAAGAAAAAATTCTTCATGGGCTTCAATGGCTCTCTAGATAAAGGGCGTTTTATGGTTGCTTGTTATCCTCAGATAGTGGTTTGTTTAAATAACTAGTGACATTTGAATAAATATTGCAAAAAAGGGCTCCAAAAAATGCATATACATATATATATATATATATATATATAACCTGGCCGGCTTAACCAGTCTGTATTTCTTCAAGCACCACAAGATTCATAGTTTATAAAGTACAATTCTGGGCCATTGATTGTGTCATTTCTCCAAACACATACAGAACAAATGCCTGTTATGAAGCCTTCAAATGGTGCAGGAAAAGGACTTTACATTGGGTTATACTTAAAGACAGGACTTTTCAGTTAAGAGAAGAGCAAAAAGGAAAGAAAATGGTTATAATGGGTGATGTAAGATTAATGACAGACATAATATGAGGTCCTTGGCACTCAGACTAGTCTAGAGGGGTCATGTTGGGATCATGGGGCATCACCCTTACAGCATCAGGACAATATCATATGGAGTCAGACACTGGAAGTGTGCTGGAGGCGTTGACTGGGACTGATGGAAGGATGAGGCTGATGAGACTGATGAATCTGCGAGGAACGAACTAGCGGCAGAGGAATAATTATATATTAAAAGACAGCAGCTTCATAAGAAGCCAACCAGAGTGACAGAGTGTGTCAGTGTGCTGAAGGATAGACCAGCTATCCAGGCCAGACTCTAAAGACTTTCCAAGGGGTAAAAGCTGCTGCTGGAGTACTGACTGGAAGTATTGCTGATATCATGTCTACCATCCTCTTAAAATACTCCGTCCAACAATATCAGTCTCAGGAAGAAATGTTTTTTAACGTTTATTAAAAGAAAAACATGCATTCTTGTTCTCAGGAGGGGACATTGATAGAGGATTACTGGAAAAGTACACTAAGTACTTCATAGTACTTGTGGGGGTAGTTTCACTAGTACTGAGTCCAACAGGATCAATCTCACAAAGAACTAATGCCAACAAAAAAGAATTCCCTCATCAAACTTAGCAGAAGTGGCTTGATGTTGTTCTCAGCAGGGACTCTGACAGAGGATTCCTCAATAAACACACAGTGAAAGTTCTTCAATGTATTGTTAGTAGTAACTAATAAAGTCAAACAGTATCAATTTCATTAAGAACTAATGGTAACATTGTCTTTTTATCATTCATCAAAGATAGCAGAAAACATGCATTATACGGAGGGGACTCTGACAGAGGATTACTCACAAAGTACACAGTAAAGTACTTCATTTTATTTCTGGTAGCAGTAAACTAGTATCGAGTCTAACAGTATCAGTTTTATTCAGAACTTGTGGTAAAACATATTTGTATCACTCATTGAATATAGCAGGGAAGAAAATGAAGAGTGCAGAATCGCTGTGTGGTTTGAATCTCCTTAGTTACAATGTTGTCCATTTTAGACAAAAGGCTTATTATATTTACAGCCTTAATAACATTAATGTTCTGGGCTCAATGTGTGTCTTGGCTGTTTTCGTTGTGATCGCCAAATTCACCTTGTTATATACAGTCTATGGTTCAAACACTGACCCAGATCGCTGGATCG